AAGCTCCACAAACTTGTAATTTGGACTGAATATTCTCCAATATATCTATTATGATAACAAATACTAAAACTAAACAATTTTCAGCAGTTATTAGCAATATTCTAACAATTTTATTACCAAATTCTTTTATTATTATTATTAGTCATTTAAAATTTAAATAAATATAAGAACAAGATTAATATATTCGATTGATAATTTGATGATCTACATAACATCCAAGTCAAGTTTTCTAATTTCATTCATTCGGAAATAAAAAAAATTAAAAAACCGGTAGCAAAACTTGTTCCAAACGGAATTATGTACTAATTTGTTAAACCTGTTGAACCTATAAATAATTGAATAAATTCACATAAAAAATATAAATAAATTTTGTGTCTTGTTTGTTATTTATCTATATAACATATATCTATATGTATATTACTTCAAAGTGCTATTAAATTTTTATACTTCGAAATAATATTAAAATAAAATTGCAACGAAAATTGAATTGAATTTGTCTCCGATGCCAAAATCGATTTTCCACAACCTATAAAATTCCAATTTGAATAATATCGATAATAACTCGATAAATTTTCGATATCTCGACAGGAATTGAATTTATGACGATAGTTTCAATTAAATAACTGAAATATTTAAAAATAAGGCTAGAACTTTATTTATTTTTGATTTAATTTTGTACTAAATATTACTCTGATTTTATTTGTTTGGACTTTTATTTTTAATTTAATTTTCTATTATTTATTACTCTGATTTATTTATAAACAATTAAATCAGATTCAAAGCAATGATTTTAAATAAACAAATTGAATCGAATCGAATCACAGAATATAAATTCAATCAACTCCAAAATAATATTGAAATGTTTATTTTTCGCCTGAAATGACAATAAATACGATTCGACGGATTGTTGATGGCTTTTCGTTGTTTTTATAAATAAATTAAACTGGGATAAATAAATATTACAGGAATTGATAGAATTTTATCTAGATTCACCCTATCTAACTGAAAAGTAGTGGTTCCATATGAAATTTTCTCGTTCCATTTGACAAAAACCAAAAAAATGTCCCGAAATTTCTATCATTTTCCATATATAATTTTCACATACATATTCATCATTATTACTACAACCTTCAGTGTTCTTATTATTTATCACAAAATCACTTATTTCCCTAATTTCTTCAAATTGCAGTCCGAATGCATTAGCAAGTTCCAAGTTTGGTGCATCATCAAAAACACATTAGCGTAGATACCGCATTGTGGGGGGTGTATAAGGGGCTTTTATATAATACATAGCAAAAAATAATTCTACACACTGCACGAGGTAATAATTTCTATCTCGGATACTAAATCTAAACGATGCAAAACACACCCAAGAAAAAAATTTGATGATGAAAAAAGTCGTAATGATGAGGATAGATCGATGGATTGATGGATTAAGAGATAAACTTTAATATATGATACTTTAATACAGCTACTATGATATAAATTAATAATATTGTATAATTTCTATCCCTCTAAAAACTTTTCTTTTACAACTATTACATACATTTCATTTCTCATCTAGTTAAGAATTCTCTATTTAATTTTCAGTTTCCAAACCGCACCTTTTTTTTCTAAGAGTCGATTTAAAATTCATATTCGAGGATTTTTTGCGAACATTCTGAACAAACAATATCTTCTCTCTGGGAATTCGCCAGAAGGTTTTTTTTCGTTTTTTTTTTTGCACGTGCAAATAATATAATGTGCTATTTGCACGAAGATGATGACGTCTGAGTAATTACAGAATAAATAATGTAGAAAGAAAGAATATATATATATATATATATATATGTATATATATATATATATATGTATATATATATGTATATGTATATATATATATATATATATATATATATATATGTGTGTGTATCTGTAGATTTATTTTTCCAGAAATATATTGAGAACATTTGCCACTTTATAAGCCGAGTAGGTATTACTATGTAAAAAAATGCATTAAAAAATCGTTAAAATAACAAACCATAAGAATACCTTTTTCTGAAATCAAATTTCACCACGAGATTCTTAAAATGCTCGTCGAGACCTTTCAAATGATACCCCACATGCATTTTTATCATATAAAAACTTTTTTGGCCAGTTGTACTATTCATAGTATAAGTCGTACTAAAAACAGTACAACGGGCCAAAACATTTTTATATGGTAAAAATGCGTGTGGGGTATCACTTGAAAGGTCTTGAAGAGCATATTAAGAAAATCGTGGAAAAAAATATTTTTTGAAAAAGGTTTTCTCGAAATTATTAATTTTGACAATATTCACAAAAATAGTTATTTTGCATTTATTATTTGTTTGTGTTTCTATCATATTTACCACAATATTTATTTATTTTTAAAATGCTTGTCGAGACCTTTCAAATGATACCCCACATGCATTTTTATCATATAAAAACTTTTTTGGCCCTTTGTGTTATTTACAGTATAAGTCGTACTACATACAGTACAAAGGGCCAAAAAATGTTTATATAGTAAAAATGCATGTGGGGTATCATTTGAAAGGTCTCGACGAGCACTTTAAGAATATCATGGTATTTTTTTTCAAGGAGGTGGTTACTTAGATTATTATAAAAGTCGTACTATATATTTTCATATTTTTATATATTTTATATTAGTCGTCTGTGTACTTACAACGCATGATTATAATTATCTCAAAAAATTGCAAAAATACATATCGATTTTACTATTTGTAATCAAAGTAGACATATTAAAGTATAACATACTCAAATTACAACATTTTACAACAAACAGAAGTAATTTTCAAAAATTACAACAGTTGCATTGTAGTTTGCAAGTATTTATATGCAAGATTTTCATGTACTTTTTTTGAAATAATCAGTACAGCGGGCCAAAATGTTTTTCATATGGTAAAAATGCTTGTGGGGTATCATTTGAAAGGTTACGATAAGCTTTTTAAAAATTTTGTGGTGAAATTTAGTTTTTCAAGAAGGTGTTCTCTTAGTTTGTCATACTGCATGACAACATCTTATTATTGGTGCCTGTTTATAATATCTCTTGTAACTTTTGAACCGTTTGTCTGATGTTGATGAAATATTTGGTGAATTTGTTTAAAAATATATTTACTATAATGTTTTCTAATATACTGAATCCATACAGCAACTCAGTGTACTTTAAAATCGTTATAAAACACAGAAATTTAATTTGATTACTAGTTGTGGTTCTTGCAAGATTTTAGGTTATTTTAACTAGAATCTTGGAATTTAAAATTTTTGCTATAAAATGTATACACCATTGGATTTGCCATGAAATGTACAATTTTTAGGCCTATCACTGCACCTCTTAAGACCCTCTATTTAACCACAAAGCGAGTCAAACTCGTATGTAGACATACATTTGTACTTGCAATGTTGCACTTTGTTTTAGCCAGAATTCTGGAATTTAAAATATTTACTACAAAATCTATACACCATTGGATACGTCTTGAAATGTGCAGTTTTTTAACCTACCAATGGAATTCCTAGGGCCAACTAGTTTTTTACAAAGCGAGTCAAACTCCTCCGTAGACATACAACTGTACCTGCAATATTGCACTTTTTTTAAACTAGAATTCAGAAATTTGAAATATTTACCACAAAATCTATACACCATTGGATTGGTCACAAAATAAACAATTTTTAAACCTATCACTACATTTTTTATAACCCACTAGTTGATAGCAAAGCGAGTCAAACTCCTAGATAGACACATAACTGTCTTGGCAATGTTGCACTTTGTTTTAGCTAGCATTTCATAATTTGAAATATTTACTACAAAATCTATACACCATTGGATTCGTCATGAAATACAATATTTTTAGGCCTATTGCTGTACTTTTTAAGACCCCTTATTTAACCCCAAAGCGAGTCAAACTCCTCAATAAACACATAGCTGTACTTGGGATGTTACACTTTGTTTCAACCATTATTCAGAAATTTAACATGATTACTATAAACTTCATATACCATTGGATTGGTCTTTGAATTTATAATTTTTTGACATACTTACACGTTCTTTAGGACCCACTATTTAACTACAAACGAGCCAAACTCCTATGTAGTCATACACTTGTACTTGCAATAGTGCACATTGTTTTAACTAGAATTCTGGAATTTGAAATTTTAACCACAAAATCTATACACCATTGAATTCGTCTTGAAATGTACAATTTTTGGACCCACCAATGGAATCCTTAGGGCCAACTATTTAACTACAAAGCGAGTCAAACTCCTATATATGCATATAGCTGTACTTGCAATGTTGAACTTTGTTTTTGCCAGCATTTCGAAATTTAAACTATTAACCATAAAATCTATACACCATTAGATTGGTCTCACCATCAACAATTTTTAAACCCATCACTACATCCCACTATCTAATTACTATGCGAGTCAGACTCCTCTGTATGCAAATAATGATCCTGGTTACCATTGCATGTTTCTTGCAATTACGGGCATAATTCTGCGGCGAATTCGGAATTTACATTGTTTTTGGTTTTCAGAACCAAAAAAATTAATAACCGGGCAACCAAAAAGCCAAAAGCATAAATTCCACAGTAATTCCTCTTATTATTTTACTCCTTGGGTAATACTCTCGTAAAATTTAAACATAGTCATTATGGTGGAAAAAATGTTTTATGCTTTTTTAATGACGTGTAAAGTGTTGTAATATATTTTGCGAACATGGTAAGGGTCGGGTAAAGGTAAAGGATATATAATATACGAAATACTACCAAAAGCCTATTGGCAAGGTGCTGTATTTTACGTGCATTCCCAACTGATTCGGGAGACAATTTACAAAACGCTCGTGGAAAAAATTAATTAAAAATACTTTGTGTAACTTTTAAACCAAAATTTTTATTACACATGCTTTATCATACTTTTATTTATAATGTTTGTATATTTTTGTATAATTATTTTTATTAATTTTTGTGTTTTTTTTCAATTTTCAGAGCAGGCTTTCGGCCGCCGAGCTGAGAGCCATGGCGCTGAGGCAACAGGCCCAGATAGACTCGCAGCAACAGGTTAGTAAAAAAAATTAAAATAAAATATATAACGTTAATTTTTTGGTATTTTTTTTTTTATAAATAGATACATGAATGTATTTCGGATGTTTTAAGTAATTTTGGTAAAATGGTTTTGGTTCAAGAAGTGGTTGTAAATAATTGCCAAAGTTTGGGGTCCTTTTTGATAAAGGATTATAATTTTCATCACAATCTGTATATGAGAGAATGAAAATGATAATTGTGAGTTCAATTGTGATTTACTCATAGTTAAAGTTATTTTACGTTTTTGTGTTATATGAAGGTACTGTAGATAATTTATATAGCTATGAAATTGCCAAAGACTGTATTGAGATTAGTCAAATATTTTACAAAATACATACAAATTTGTAAAAAAAAACTACTTAGCGCTCCATATAATCCCTCTCCATGCAGGAGGATGATTTACGCGATATATGCAAGGTTGAGTTTGGATGCAAATTTTTAATAAATCTACTTGTTTTTTGCTATTATATTGTATGAAGATATTGTAGATAATTTATCTAGCTATAAAAAAGCTGAAGAAAGTTTTAAGATATATTAACTAGTTTAGAAACTATGAGCAAAATATTCAGAAAAAAACGCTTATATATCTGAAAAATAAATTAAAAACAAACCATAGGTAAAACTAAAAAAATAATTAATAACAATCTTAGTAATTATATTAAGTCTATTACTATTACAATTAAACGTCCTCTACCCTTGATTTATGACATTTCTGTCATCCAAGATTATTTCTGGACTTTGATGAATTATCACCCCGAAAACCCTTTAGGGTTGTTTTGGCAAAGGAAATAATAATAGGATAATAAAGGACCATAGATGAAGGATATATAAAGTCACCAAATGGTGAAGTGGTAGACAAGTTGTCATCTTGGTACTTCTTAAGCCGAAAGGTTCTGCTGTTAATTGCATTTTCTTGTTGGGGAATGGTCAGATAAATTAATATAAATATATATATATATATATATATATATATCTGTGTGTGTGTGTATTAAGTGGTCATCCATCATATGTTTTCATGTCCTGTCCAGATATATATACGAATATCCTGCGGTTTCTATATTTGTTACATAACATGTATATTGTCGACTATTTTAATTATAATTACTAAATTAGTTGCTGGATTTGAAAACTGTCTTGGACAATTTAATAGCTAAATATTAAAATTATCTACAATATCTTCATACAACATAATACTAAAAAACAACTATTTTTATTAATAATTTGCATCCAAACTCAACCTTGCATATATCGCATAAATCATCCTCCTGTATGCTGAATGTTTATATGGAGAGCTACGTACGTTTTTTTTACAAATTTGTATATATTTTGTAAAATATTAGACTAATCTTAATACAGTCTTTGACAATTTTTTAGCTAAGTAAATTATCTAAAATATCTTCATAAAACTTATTTTTGTACAACAACTCTATCTATTTTTAATTTGTATTTTTAGAGAAGACTTCACGAATGTCATAGACAGTGCATTTGCATATGTGTCACGAAATTATTATGCACTTTTTGCACTATTTTCTTAATAACTTTTAAAATAATTGATAAATCTTAAAACTGTCTTCAGCAATTTTATAGCGAAGAGTCAACTTTTAGAAGTCAATTAAATTATCTACAATATCTTCTTACACATAAATGCTATAATATTATTAGTTATATTTTTAAACTATATTTGAATTTAGCACAAGCCGGATTTGGTAGTGTGTTTTTCCGATGATTTTCTTGATATTTTCTAAACTATTTAACAAGTCTTAAAACAGTTTTTGGCGATATTATTCTCTATACAATACTGTTTTCAATTATTTTTTTATGATAAAAAATAATCTCCAAATGCGAAACGGATTTTGTTATGTGAGGATTTATTTTTCGCAATTTATTATTATTTTGCGGAAAATCCTTCATGTGATTCGTTAGCTATAAAATCAACTAATCCGTAATGCTATAGCAATTTATTTTTCTATGGCTTTCGATGCTAATTTTGTCAAAATTAATCTTTTTGGCGAAATGAAAAATAATAATCCCTTTGTTATGGTGGGATTATTTTTTGAAATGTATATATATATATATATATATATATATAAATTATTTTCAAAGTCGTATCATTTAAATTGCAATTAAATTCAATGCTAAATATTAGTATATAAACATTAATTGCATGGCTCGTCTGGTGGACTTGTTTAATAGTTTTATTAATATCTCATAAACCGTTTGACGAATTTAAAAACTGTCTTCATTCGAGTATCGGCAGCCGAAGAGTAAGGATCGTCTACAGGTACAAATTTAAATATTGTGAATAATAGTTTGTTTACCAGTTATGGATACCGAGCCGCCGGACCCCGGCGGCAGACCCTTATCGCCGATATCTGATATAGATATCGACATTGATAATGTTAGTGAGTCACAGTGCGTAAATAATACTTATTATAAAATGGAAGGAGACAAAATACATTGGGTTAATGACACTACCCATATTAGTGCTATTAATTCGGTAAATATTAGTGAAATAAATGAAGAAAATATAAATTATAATGAAAATAAAGAAACAAATAGTGATAATTTAACAAGTGTCGGTGCGGAAAGTGTAAATAAAAAATTAAAAACAGGTATAATATCAGTCGCAAATTCTGAACAAAGTAGTGAAATATCAAATGTAAACAATGGAATCAAAACAAGTTGGTATAATATGTGGTTAAAAGATAAGGATACAGCAATAGTAGGCGAAAATATTAAAGAAATTAAATTCTATTTAGAAACAGACGAAGGTCCATTCATTATTCATGCTGAAAGCAAAGATAAAAATATCGGTAGACTACACCCGATGGCCGTGGGAAGAATATTTCACAGAAATTTAATAAATATTAGTAAGGATATAGAAAATATTAGCGCTATTGGCAAAAACAAGATAAAAATAACATTTAATAATTATAAGAGTGCAAACAGAGTCATCAGAGAAAATCTGCTGGATATTTTTAATATTAAGGCATTCATTCCCAGATACAAACTAGTAAGAACCGGAATCATCTTCGATATAGACCCAGATCTAGAAGAAGAGGAAATTTTTAATTGTATTAGGTGCGATAGCGAAGTTATAAGTATTAAATGCTTAAAAAGTAAAAATAATGAATCAATGAAACCTAATTCGCAGAGAGTAAAAATTTTATTTAGAGGCAATATGTTACCAGAAAGAGTGTTTATCCATTCAGTAAGTTGTCGGGTTATGCCATATATACAAAGATTAATACAGTGCCACAAATGTTGGAGATTTGGACATATAAAAATACAATGCAGAAGCAAAGAAAGGTGTAAAAAATGTGCAGATGAACATAACATAAATGCATGCAAAAATGACGAGGAAACTTGCTGCCTATGTTATGAAAACCATCAAGCAGATAGCAAAATATGCGAGGTATATCTGAAGAATAAAAAAATAAAAGAAATCATGGCAATGCAGAATTCATCTTACGAAGAAACTAAAAAAATTATTCAGAACAACGGATATGCAAAAGCAGTTAGCACCTATAATCAATATAAATCCTATCAAAATAACTTTCCAGGTCTTAATAGTAATATGAGAAGCAGTTCAGATAAACCAAATGCTAATAAATATGAAATATTAGCAAATCTAATAGAAAAAGAACAGGTTTATGACACAGATAACTTAATGAGAATGAATAAACCAACAAATATCTCAAGCAGAAATGATAGAAGAAATTATTATAAAGCAAATTATGAGTATCGAAGAGGTGAACGTAGGGTAGACAGAACTGACGTGATTAAGTCTCACAAAAGGTCACAAAGCAATGAGGATAAAGAAATTTCAGCAGCGCGAAGGACTCAATTGAGAAGCGACATTAAAAACATAATTAAAAAACTAGAAGACAAAAGATATGGTATAGATATAAGCAAGGAAACTAATATGTCGAACATAAAAATTAGATTAGAAATGATAATCGAAAGTTTGGGTATAGTAAGTTCTCAAGTAGAAAACACAATAGGAGTTGGTTCTAAAGAAAATGAGAAAAAAGATTTAGTGACAATAATTATAGTTGATTAAAAAAACAAATAAATAAATAAATAATAAAAATAAAAATATAAATGAATCAATTAAAAATTTTACAACTGAATTGCAGATCACTAGTATCAAATAGGGAAAGTATTCAACACTTTATGTTCCAAAACCAAATCCACATAGCGGCACTACAAGAAACGTGGCTAAAACCAGATAGGAATTATAACTTCTCTGGGTATAAAATATTTCGTGATGACAGAGATGATGGTTATGGCGGGGTAGCTATTTTAGTAAAAAATGAAATTGCTTGCGAAGAAGTCATTTTTTCTAATGATAACGATAATATACAACTCTGTGCAGTTTTGATTAAAACCCATACACCATTTTATATAATGTCCGTATATTACTCTCCTAATACAAGTATAGATATGACGGATTTTAAAAATCTAATAGAACAATGTCAAAGAGCAAGAATTTTGATTTCGGGTGATTTCAATAGCCACCACTTTGCGTGGGGCAGCAATTATATAGACAAAAGGGGTGCTACAATATATGAGTTAATAGAAGATTATTCTTTTTGTATACTGAATGATGGAAGAACAACAACAATTCAATCAAAATACAAAAGAAGCTCACCAATAGACTTATCATTTTGTTCCAACAATTTAATTAGTTTGTTGGATTGGAATATAGTTAATGAGAGTATTGGATCAGACCATCTCCCAATAATTATAACGGCGAATGTGTATATAAAAACAATGATACACATTAATATAAATAAACGATGGAATATTAAGAAAGCAAATTGGACAAAATTTGAAGAAAATATTGACAAAATGACAACAACCTTTAATCACACAGAAAGCATCCAAGTAAAATATAAATCTATTACAAACATAATAGAAAAAGCAGCAATAAGTAGTATAAAACAAAATAAACAGAATTACATTAGGACTTTTAGACCTACTCCATGGTGGGATGAAGAGTGCATGGAAATCATATCCAAAAGAAAAATAGCATATAAAAAAATGTTAAATAATTTCAACTATAACAACTATATTAATTATCAAAAAATTAATGCAGAGATAAAAATAATGCTTCGCAACAAAAAGAAAAGAAAATGGATAGACTTTACTAACTCCTTGAATAATACCATGCCTATTACACAACTATGGAAAAAAATCAATATATTCTCAAACAGTAAATCTAAAGTAAATTCTTATAATCAAATATCGCAGGATTTTGGATATAATATTTTGAAAAACTATACGCCAGATTATGTTAGAAGTTGCATCCGTCACTACAAGAATGATAGACTTCGAAATCGAAATATTAACGAGGAAGCAATAAATTGTCCAATAAATACCGAAGAACTTGATAATGTTTTGAAAATAAAAAAGATTCTGCGCCAGGAATGGATAACATCCATTACTCTATGATTTCTAAATCCCCTAGGGAATTTAAAAAAATCATTGTAAATCTGTTTAACGAGATAATTAAAAATAATATGATTCCCGAAGATTGGAGAAATGTTTGTTTGTTACCATTATGTAAGCCCAATAAATCTCCATTTGACGTCAATTCATATAGGCCGATAGCATTAACGTCATGCGTGGCAAAATCATTTGAGAAAATAATTAAAACAAGACTGGAATGGTTTATCGAAAACCAAAATCTATTAAGTCCATTACAAATTGGATTTAGAAAAGGTAAAAGCACTATGGATGTTATAAGCATTATCTCAAACGATATTCATATCTCAAATTCCAATAATAACTACCTCCTATTTATTGCAGTAGATATCGAAAAAGCATACGATAACGTAAACCAGGAAATTCTACAAAATAAAATGCGAAAGTTTAAGATTCCAAAACTTATAATTAATTGCGTTATGAATCTTATTTCACAAAAAAGAATTTATATCAAAACTAAGGAAGGAATTATAGGGCCAAGAACAACAAATACGGGTATTCTCCAAGGGTCAATACTTAGCCCACTACTCTTTAACATTTACACCTCCGATTTGATCAAAATAATAAAATCAAACGATATCAAAATCTTACAGTATGCGGATGATCTGTTTATATATGTAGCAAAACCATCAATTGAGATATGCATAAAGAAGGCTAGTGAAGCAATAAAGAAACTACAAAATTGGCTCAATAAAAACAATCTAAGTATATCCCCAAGTAAAAGTTCAATAACAATATTCACCAGACACAACAAATCATACCAGCAAGACCAAATTAGGTTGGGCAGTTTAGACTTTCCCATTAAAAAATGCGTAAAAATACTCGGTGTTTATTTGGATAACAAAATGAGTTTTAAAAATCACATTCAAGAATTATGCAAAAAGGGTGAAAAAGGTTTAAACATTTTGAGAAAACTAGCGAATACCAGTTGGGGAGCTCACCCAGAATCGTGCTTGATGATATATAAGAGTTTAATAAGATCTCAAATGGACTATGGATGTTTTATTTACGGCACAATAAACTCTTCTGAAATGCAAAAATTAAATAAATTACAATATTCAGCACTTAGATTGAGCCTAGGAGCTCTAAAATCAACTCCTACAAATAGTTTACTTGCGGAAGCAGGTGAAATAACTTTTCAGCTGAGAATACAAATGTTATCAAATAAATATCTTACGAAAAAATTTAATTCGGCATGCGAAGAAATTCCAAATCAATTACAACTGTTATCAAATCACCATATTACCAAAAAATTTTGGTTCAAGAAAAATACTCCACCATTATTATCAAGTTTTTATTTTTTCAAAAAGTTTGATGAATATATAACTATAAATAAGACCATACCACTTTTTGAATTTCCGTGGAAATGCAGTTTGAGAAACCCGATATAATATTTACATCGTTTCCAATTGAACCGAATATTTTAAACATTGGAGTCAGAAACAGGGAATTGGAGACTTACATAAATGAAAAATGGCCTGATCACATACAAATCTATACAGATGGGTCAAGGGGACAAGGAAAAACAGGTTGTGCTATTTACATCCCCAATTTTAATTATAAAAGAAAAGTGAGGTTGCCGGACATTGCATCGATTTTCACTGCAGAAGTATTAGCAATTTATTTAGCATTAGAGTATATCAAACAAAATAACATCAATAAAGTGATAATTCTTTCGGACAGCAAAGCAGCATTAAAATCTATCAACAAGCCAAATATTAAATCAAATAAACTTATCTTAAAAACTACAGAAATTTTAATACAACTAACTAGAGATAAATTTTCAATCAAATTATTATGGGTAAAAGGTCACTCCAACATATTGGGTAACGACATAGCCGACAATCTTGCGAAAGAGGCATGGGATCTGGACGTGGACCCTTATAAAGTTCCATGTACTGATCTATTTTTTTGGATAAAGTCACAAACCATTAAAACTTGGCAAGAGGAGTTTAAAACCTTATCAAAAAGGAAGGGAAGGCTATATGCTACAATTAATCCATCTCCAAAATTTAATACATGGTTTAATAAAAGGCTAGACATCGACAGAAAATTGATTTCAATTTTCTGTAGAATGCGATTCAATCATACATTGTGCAAGGACCAGTTATACCGGTTTCGGATCGTAGATAATAACAAATGCATATGTGGAGCTGCAGAAACAATTGATCACTTATTTTGGCAATGCCATCTTCATAATGAACATCGTAATAAACTATACAAATGTCTGAGTGAAAAGGGAATGTCATTTCCAATAAATACAGTCATATTAGTCGCTACAAACAATATACAAATTTATAAAATCGTTTTGGACTTTATTACTAAATGCAAAATAAAAATTTAAATTTCTTAATTGATATCTGTGTGTATATGTAGGTATGTGTATGTGTATATATAAATATGTGTGTGCATGCATGTGTGTATGTGTATATATGTATCGATATGTATATAGTTAAGTTTAGATATATATATATATATATATATATATATGTATATATAAAATATATATATAGTTATAATTAATATTATAAATGTCTGTAATGTGCTAGATAACCATAAGGTTGAAGCCAAATAAATAAATAAATAAATAAATAAATAAAAACTGTCTTCTGGTATTTTAAAGCTGAATAAATTATCGACGACATCTTCATACGACATATTGTTGTAATACAACCCTATTTGACAAACTTTACTCATAACTTTATGAAATTACATTACTAAAATGACAATTTCTTCAAACAAGTTAAAAATTAAATATAACATAGCATAACATATATCTTAATAAAAAATGTAAAAATCTTGATACTATATTTGTTTATGTGACGAAAAACTAAAGAATAAATATATTAAAATAAATTACTAAATTATATTACTAAAAAATAAATATATAAAGAATTTACTACAATCTTCAATTGAACTTTACATATTTTTACACGTAATTTTGTTAAGAGTTAGGAGTTTTTCCAAAATTTATTCGATAATTTTTGAAAATATAATATAATGGATTTGAAAACTGTTTTTGGCAATTTTATAGCTGAATAAATTATCTACAATATCTTCATACAATGTATAAACAAAATTTGAACCAAATTATTTATAAATGGCAAGTGAATTTTAATTTTAGCATTTCTTTTCTTGTTCTTGATGGAGTTTTTGGTCCAAATCTCGCAAAATATAATTTGTGCACTAAAACTTTATAAGAACAACTTGTAGCTTATAAAATAACCAACAAATCCTCCATATAACATTTTGTCCTATCTACAATATTTTGAGCTGCAAAAAATAAGTTCCACAAAATTTTAATTCTAACTTATTCAACATTGCAATGACAAACCGATCATATTTATTGAGCGCATATTATTATTTTTACAAATTTTTAAACTTTGTAGTTTATTTTTAAAATTATAGTAAATTATTTACCAAGATTTTTATTAATTTTTAATTTTTTTTTCAGCTTCTGGCAGCCAAAGAGCAGCGCCTCCGCGCCCTTCGAGCCCAAGAGGCTCGCGTGGGCGCCAACGTGATAGCCAGGGAGCAAGAGAGGCTCCGGAGGCTCCGGGAAAGAGCAGAGGCTCAAGAGAGCAAATTAAGGCGACTCCGGGCCCTTAAAGGACAAGTCGATTTGCAGAAGGGATACAATGTTACACTGAGTGAGTAGATAATGAAATTTTGTTGAAATTATTTTGTGGAGGGTAAATTATTTTAGTTTTTTTTCTGCATAGTTTTATTGTCAATCAAAATAAAATACATATTTTAAGACAATATGATGTTGGTGTTAATTCATTTAAGAGATTATCTCCTATGAGATATCTCACTTATTTTTTTATTTTTGACGTTTTATTTGAGATCGTATGGCCATTTTTTTTTCAATCTACGTGTGGGATATTATTATTTTAGTTAGCGGAAAATTTTGTATCGGGGAATTTAAGAAAATTTTATAAGTTATAAGTTTGTCTTATATAAATTTTTTGTGTAAGTTATAGTTTGGGAGGTTTTGGTCCGGGAATGAAGTTGTGTACGCGATTTTCGTAGAAATTAAAGTTTTGTGTAAATAGTTTGCCAGGGCTATAAATATTGTAGTTAGAAGAAAATGTTTTATAAGAGATATATTGAGGATTTTATAAACTATAAGTTAGTTATATATATTAATAATATATACATTTACTTATTCAATCATATAGCATAAGCATATTTTTAACTTCCCGTAGGGCAAGTTATAGTAATCGCAAAAAAATCGAAAATGAAAATTCTTATATATCTTTACGTTTCAGAGGTTTCTGAACATTTTGGCATACCTTAGAAAAAAATGGATGTATGTGTGTGTGTGTGTGTGCGTAGTATGTATGTGTGTGCGGATACAAATTTTCGTCGACGATTTCGGGAACACGGATGAAGCAATTTGAATAATTTAAAAAACATTCGATCCGTATTGATAAGGAGACGTGCTGATTAGTTTTTGGCTGAGGTAGGTCCAGCCGTTCCGAAGATATGGGGCAAAAAGTGCCAAAAACGGTACCTCAGTTTTTAATAGAACGAAGCGTCCGATTTTAATAATTCAAAAAACATTTTACTTGTATTGACAATATGAAGATTTGATCAAATTTTCATGAAGGTAGGTCTAGCGGTTTCGGAGATATGGAGGAAAGAGTAAAAAAAGGAGCCATTTGGCGGTCAAAAATGATCATTAGACATATGCACATCAAATTATCAGATATTTTATAGAGATTTTAACAATAAGTATAAATTTTGTTTACATTCCTATGGGTTCCGTACCAATGCTTAGGCGTTAGACAGCGACGCGGCGCTTACGCGCTTTATATTTTGTCCCTATGCAGTTAAAGCAGTACGATTGCTTTGAAAAAAAAGTTCAGATCTTCTAACATATGTCAAAATAAAGAAAACATTTAAAAAAAAAAAGATTTAAAAAAAATTTTAAATAATTTTTTTTTTCAATTTTTTTTTTCGAAAAAAGTAATTTTTTGTTAAATTTATAGTATCTCAAAAATCTTATTTTTTCGAAGTAATTTTTTTTCAAAAATGTTAATCGTTTTTAAAAAAAATAATAATTTTTGGTACGGGAAGTTCCAGCAATTTGCCTTAAGGCACGATGCCCTAATTGCCTTAAGACAGAATTCCACTTACAGCTAGTATAATCATAACTTCCAATTATATACAACAATAAGATATATATTTACCATTCAATCAATATGTTTTATAATCAATAGACTAAATATGTAACCCTATATATAGGACGCGCTCTGATTTTCATTTGCGATTCTTTAATTAACATTCAAACAGTAATCACATATTATATCATATAATAAAATACAATATTATCAATTGTATAATTTGAATATAATAAAGTATTAAAATATAATAAAGTAATTGTATTAAAGTGAAATAAATATTATTTTTATATAAAACCTACGTTATAAAAATATAACTAGTTTGTCATATACAAGTTTTTTGTGCAAATTACATTTGGCGAGATTTGGGCCAAAAACTAAAATTTTGTACCTCAATAGAAGATGAGTCATTTTGTTGAAACTTTATATTAGGTTGTCAAATATCTCCCTTCCGCCTTTTTGTATTATAAACCAAGAGCAAAAAAGCGGAAGGGAGATATTTGACAACCTAATATATTTAATAATAAAAATTTTTTGGAGCTCAAAATATTGCAGATAGGACAAAATGTTATATGGGTGAAATATTAAGAATTGTATATGCTATAAGTTTGTCTTATACAAGTTTTTTGTACAAATTACATTTGGCGAGGTTTTGATAAAAAACCAAAATTTTTGCACCAAGTACAAACGAAGAGATGTGTCATTTGTTTGAAACTCAATATGTTTATTACTAAAAATTTTTGGAGCTCAAAATATTGCAAATAGGACACAATGTTATATGGATGAAATGTTGGGAATTCTATAAGTTACAAGTTAGTCTTATACAAGTTTTTTGTACAAATTGTATTTTGCGAGATTTTCCAAAAAATCCAAAAGTAGAAATTTGTACCTCAAGTACAAGAGAAGAGATGGGCATTTTGTTGAAACTTGATATATTTAATACAAAAAAAAATCTGCTGCTTGAAATATTGTAGATAGCTAAAAATGTTATATGAGTGAAATGATTAAAATTTTATAAGCTATAAGTTGGTCTTACACAAGTCTTTTGTGCAAATAATATTTTGGGAGATTTTTATCGAAAACTCTATAATTTTGTACCCCATGCTCTATTTTACTAGCATATACTTTTTAAAATTTAAAGTTCGTAATTATTTAAAGTTCGGTTGAAATTTATTAATACTTTGAGTCATATTTTGAATATATGTTGTATGAAAATGTTTTAGACAATTTATTAAGCTACAAAATTGCTTAACACAGTTTTAAAATTTATGCACTAGTTGAGAAGTTATCCAATAAATTCAGAAAAAAACGCATCGATTTTTAACGCGAATTACATGAAAAATATTAAGTTTTAGGTAAAAGACCAAGTGTTTTCAAGTACTATGTTATATGAAGATTTTGTAGATAATTTAATTGGCTACAAAATTTCCATAGACAGTTTTAAAATTTATCAACTGATGCAAAAGTTAATACACTTTATTTACAAATAAACAATTTGCAATGTATGTATTATTTCGATTCCAACAATTGATGTTTTGCTCCGTATATTTCTATTATTAATTTCGATCTCATTATTCTCCAAGAGCAAATAAAGCAAATAAAGCTCCGTTTTCTAAATATTTCATCAAATTATTACATCAAATGTTGTTTACAAAGCATTCTTGCAAGAGACAATTGTGAAAGACGAGGACGAATATTTTATTTTGATAAACGATCCACAAACAAAACAAAATAACTCGGGCAAAAGACGAGAATTGATGATGAAAAACAGAATTTTATCAATAAATAATAAAGCCAAGTTATTTACGAAAGGTACCGACCTTTTTTATAATGGATAAAAACGTTTAAATAAAGCAAGGTAGGACGAAGAAAATTTTTTTTTTTTGTTGGTAAATGATGAAATTGAATTCAAATGCGTTTTATTCAAAACTTTTATATCGGAGTGTATAAAAGTGTTAGGATGTAGGCATATTTTCTATGGCTAAACAACGTTTGCCGGGTTAGCTAGTATATATATATATACTAGCTAACCCGGCAAACGTTGTTTTGCTCTAAAAAATATGCCTAAATTAATAAAAAATTAATAAAAGTGCCAAAAATTAAATATTTAATAGATTTGGACTCTGATTTTTTGAGAAATAGTTAAAAACTTGTTATAATTTTCAAAATTATTTGACATTTCATACTTCAAAAATTAATTCTCTCGCATCATAGTTTTTTGTTTATTATACTTTTGTCATGTCATATATGTCAATAAAATTTTCTTTCAAATATTATTTATTTGTTAATAAATTAATAATTATTGTTATGTTAAATTCATAAGTTTGGCTAAATCAACACAGGAATATTGTGAAAATAAATATTTTTTTACATAAACATCTGATTTTTGACATTTGCATTTTATTTCAAATTAATTAAAATTGTCAAAATATTTTCTTTTCGGTCAAAATTTAATATAATATGATATAATATTTAGTTTGTCTAGTTTGTTTTTGTCAGATTCCAATGATACCCTCAGATTGTACTATTTCATTTAAGAGGTTACGATTTCCTGTAAGATTAGCATTTACGATGACAATCAAAATATATCTTCAACTGATATATTAATAATAATATTATATTTTAATTCCACAAATTTCTCTACACTCCGATAATTAATTCCAACGCATCATAGTGTTTTGTTCATGTCAATTTTTTTTAAATTAAAGAATTAATTAAATTTTAGTCTAAATCAACGCAGTATCTTTATCTAAATATACAATTTTTTATATAAATATTTGATTTTTTACATTTGCATTTAATTGAAAAATAGTCCAATATGCACTAAATTTATAAATGTCAAAATATTTCCTTCTTGGTCCAAAATTTATTTAATATGATAAAATTTATTTTACAATAATGTTTTGTATCTATAATTTGCTTGGTAATATTGCCTATAACATAACTTGAAATAATTAATTTATTTGCTTCTTATTGAAGTAAGTCGTTTAACATTTTTGTTTTTTTGTGAAATGTCAAAATTTTGTTTATGATTAATTTTAAATTCAATATGCCGCTTTTTTATTGTGATCTCTGATCTATAATGTTTTGATGAAGTTTTGGTTTCCGAAATAATTTGGTAATCTAATTAATTAAATCTAAATCGTAAATCTGTTTATATAATTATTTTCATAAATATTGACAAATGACATTTAATTTTTTTACATGTGAAATTTTTAAGCATTGATTTTTAATTAGATTTAAAACTATAAACAGTGATTTTGAATATAGCATTTTATCAAATTTGGATTTAAATGTTGGATTTAAACTATATACACATATATAGTTCTATATATGTACATGTTTTTGATTTTCTTTTTTTGAAATGTCAATTTTTTTTTCAAAAATTATATATCGAAATTTCCTTAAATTTTGACATTTGTCATTTTAGTGTTTTGTTTTCTTTTGGTCATTTTCTGTCAAAATTTGTAGAAATTTTTAAAAATTATATATTTATATTTCAAATTTACTTTTCAAAATTTCCT